ATGATTGGCGGCCATGGATGGTGCAAGACCAAGTTGCAGGGTCAATTTATCGACTCAGGATATTCTTTGTTTCCATATTTTTGAGCAATGATATTACTCTTTTGAAGGAGTTTAGTTAGAAACTAACTGGGAGTTCTACAAAAACCTGAAATTTGCAGATACACGAGGACCTACTCCAATCAAATGACTTATGCCACTATCAAGGCAAGGAAAATTCGCATATGCATATCCCTTTCTCATTCTCATAGTGACGAATTTTAATTGTAGTTTTTGTTTCTTCTGTTTTTTTGGGTTTCCCCTGTTATTTTTTGGTTAATTGGCAGGGAGGAGGGCACACAGCTCCCGAGTACAAGCCCGCAGAATGTTTTGCTATGTTTAAAAGGTGGATATCTCGAGAGCCTTTGCAACACCGTCAGCTCATCAGGCTTCCAACTTCAAAACAAAGACATGCTTCCAACTTCAAAGCACTGATGTGAACTATGTTTTACCATGGTTAATTAACGTTCTTCTCTCTCTCCTGTGTTAAGAAGTTTAAAACATTACTTTCAACTAATAAAAATATTATCCTCTCATAGGATTTCTATTAAAAATATTGTATTTTAGCAATAGCAAGCTTGAAATTAAGAATCGAGGTCTGGCACTTAGACAGTTACAAATAGACTTTTTGTGAAGGACTACCAAGTGACCTCAGAGATCTAAGAAAGCAGAGCCAAAAAAATTAAGACTGATTTCATTTGGTTGAAATGTGTGTGTGTGTGTGTGGCTCCCCATTACAGTTCGGTACAACATGGCGTTGCACCTTGAGTAATTAAGACAGCTGCATAAAAAGTTCCAAGTCGCAACACTTTCAGAACTTGTGCAAGTTATCCTCCACTTGTATCTCCATTTTGAGAAGGAGAAGAAAGCAGAAGCAAAACCAGTCAGGTGTGCTTCGTATCCGCCCAAAACGTAAGTAAAAGATCTTCTAATCTGAAATTGAACCTTATTCCTACAATAAATCAAATAAACAGAGAAAATATTTAATTACCGAAATGAAAACATCGTAGAGTGAAGGCATCTCTTTTCAAAATGATATAAGAATAGAAAAGAACAATACAATAAAGTACGCTCTTCCCAGATTTGGGACACCTGATTATTGTACATTGGGTCAATAGATATTGCCAAAGAAACAGTAAGCATTACCAGAGGAATTTCTTGAGAAGAACTTTAGCACCTCATCAATAATTATAACCTGGAGTAGATGGAGAATAATGGAGGTAAGCAAAATGGATTAAATCTCTCTGGAAGCCACACCAAAGGCACCAATATTGAGTATCACGAGAACTAAATCAAATGGGGATCTCTGCTGCAATAACTTCAGAATTTACTATGCTTGTCCACGCCCTGAAACGAGACTTTTCATCATAATCATTCAAGCTATCGCTCGACAAAATCTAGCAGAGGCTAATAAACGGGTGGTTTTTTCACGATTAGATACAAAACTCAAAACTGTTTCAATCCATTAGAGTTGAGATTTTCTCTGCAGATTTGTTGCAGACACTTAGGCAGAGTTTGTTTTCATTGTTTATTCTTTCAAATGTATCAGCTGGTAGTTGATTGACTTAAAATAATGCAGCACCATGTCTCATGCAGATTTGTCCAGCTAATGCGGAGATATTGTATATATTTTTGTATCCTAAGCTTTGTATATATATCAGCAGATGAATGAATCAAACACTGCATCAGTTTTCTACAGCATACTTCTCTGTTATCTCTTCTCTTTACTTCTGCTATCTAATAAACTTACACAATCGCCCACTTGAGAGCTTCTGAATGGCAAGATCAGATAAAATTGCAGAAGTTCTCTTTTTCTTCTTTCTTTTAAAGATTTGCTCGCAGCTCGCTATGTCTCATTCATTGGTTAAGTTTCTTCCTGGATTTGAAGGGCCTCTGCCTTTTGAACTTGAAACTGGGTGAGTCCATAAAGTAGTTGGTGGTAATATACCATACTTTGTATTTTCCTTCTTGGTTTTCCTGAATCTTGATGTTATATACGTGCATGTTATTGTCAGGTATGTGGGTGTGGGTGAATCAGATGATGTCCAGCTCTTCTACTACTTCATAAAGTCGGAGAGAAATCCCGGGGAGGACCCTCTCCTGCTTTGGCTAACTGGTGGCCCTGGCTGCTCTAGCCTTTCAGGCCTTGTTTATGAAATTGGTAAGACAGGCCAAAGTCCCCAGCAGTATTCAATTAAGTAGTATACTTTTGCTTAAAAGGGAATGGGAGACTTCTTTTCTGGTGATATGCCAATAAGAAGTTTATTTCTAGTTTGGCCCTCACATGACTAGAAAAACATGATATACATATTTTGGTTCCCGAAGATCTTTTTAATTCAAATTTGTGGTTTTTAAAATCGATATCCTTAAAGCTGCCTTGAATTGTATTCGTCAACAGAAACCTTTCATAAAATTGTCTGCAAATGATAATCAATCATCAAAATCAAAATCAATCACTTAGATCCAAGGCATTTATCTTAACATTGCAGGTCCACTGAATTTCAATGTAGTGGAATACAATGGAAGCTTGCCTACATTGGTATTGAATCCATACTCATGGACAAAGGTGATAATGTCATTACAGAAGTGGAACAAATCAGAAGATATTTCGTTTTTCTTCTGTATCTTCTTAATTTTATAACTAAGTTGGACATTAGCCATTTGTTTTCAGATCTCCAGCATCATCTTTGTAGATTCACCCGTTGGCACTGGATTCTCCTATGCAACAAACCAGCATTCAGCTCAGTCAAGTGACTTCAAACAAGTTCACCATCTCCACCAATTTCTCCAGAAGGTGCAGTGACACTTTTTTTAAGCAGAAGTCTCAAAATGTTTTGTTTGGGAAGCATTTAATTGAGTTGATTGTTGCTGGTTTTACATTGAAGCAATTTATGAATATTTTGTTATTATGTAGTGGCTGATGGATCATCCAGAATTCCTCTCAAATCCAGTCTACATTGCTGGGGACTCATACGCTGGCATTATTCTCCCAGTGCTCTTTCAAGAAATCTTATACGGTGAAGGATAGTTCGATATTAGAAGGGAAATCCTGCACCAATGGTTAAGCGCTTAGCGCAGGGTCCTCACCTTATTAGCAATTTATTTAGACTAAAAAGTTGTAACTATAAATTTCATAACCCTGTAGGAAATGAAGAAGGTATCAGACCACTAATCAATCTCCAGGTTTGTAATTGCGTTTTTGTTCTCTTTTGATTTTGAGAAGAGAATTAGAATTGATTTCAATGACCAAAAATGGAGGAAAGGTGAGTTTATGAAGGTGTAGCTAGAAAGTAGAAATGCCCAGTTCAGGTTGTTCAGAATAAAGCGGGAGACATCCTGTCTCTCGGAGTCCTGATATAACTGAATAATGAGCTTTAACCAACAACATAAACATTTTTAGTGCATGCTTCCAGTGGGGTGCTAATGGGCCACTGGATTCTGAGTGCTTTCAGGGATACATACTCGGGAACCCCAGAACAGCACCAACTGTAGAAGACAACTCCAGGATCTCATTTGCTCATAGAATGGCGCTGATCTCTGATGAACTCTATGATGTAATATTTACCTTCCTTTAAATCTATTCTCCAGGTTTCTCTGAATTCCAGATTTGGTAATTGGACAAAATTACGTAGTCACCAGAAAGAAAAAGCTTTCAAAATATTTTCTATTAAGCAATCGATCGACATTCTTTTCTAGTCTTTGAAGAGAAGTTGTCGTGGAGAATATCAAAATATCGATCCCAGAAACGTGGAGTGTCAGAAAGATCTTCAGTATTACACCATGGTATGCAGCTCTCGCTCAGGTTCCTTTTCCTTTAAACCTAAAATATATATATATATATATATATATATATATTTTCATACCGTTATTAATCTAAGTCATTTGTCTTTTGTTGATCCTTGTACTACAAAACCCAATTTCAGTGTATATCAGGAATTAACCCGGCGCATATTCTGAAACCCTTATGCAGTTTTGACAGTTTTACATCCCCACATCCACAAGAAATGGTAGCTAGAATGTGTCCTGATGGACACCAGAAAGAGTTACTTGATTCTGAACCATCAACACTTCCTAAATTTGGCTGTCTGGTAATTTCATATTCTCCCGTTTGAAATGCAAATTAAGTATGTAATTTATCATGATGCCGAAACAAAATCATGGTAAAAATATCATTAAAAATGAAATAAAGCAATCTGTAAGATGAATTGATACTTTGAATTGACCATATCCTTTAACGAATGGAAATCCTATATAAACACCTGCACTGTGAACTTTTTCTGTGCCACAGAGTTATTCCCATTTGCTCTCTTCTTATTGGGCTAATGATCGCAAGGCCAAGAAAGCAATCCACATAAGAAAGGTTTGGAAGTAGTTGTTTAAAAATTAAACTGGAATGAAAACCGCAAGAGAACTGAAGAAGCAACTCGTCATCTGCAGGGAAGCATAGGACAATGGAACCGGTGTAATTTTGGATTACCTTACACAGCTGACGTTCCGAGCAGTTTTCCATTCCATGTAAACCTTAGTAGCAGAGGCTACCGTGCTCTAGTTTACAGGTGAGATGACTCTATTTTCTGTATTTACTCATCCAAAACCTATGATGATGGTTTTTATTTTGGCTTGGATTCTGTGGTGACCATGACATGGTGATTCCCTTCTTGGGAACTGAGGCATGGATAAAATCTCTCAACTATCCCATTGTTGATGATTGGCGGCCATGGATGGTGAAAGACCAAGTTGCAGGGTCAGTTTGTGGACTCAGTGTTTTCTTTATTTCCATCTTTTAAATTGTCACTCTTTCGAAGGAGTTGAGTTAGAAACTAATTGGCAGTTCTGCGAAAACCTGAAATTTGTAGATACACGAGGACTTACTCCAATCAAATGACGTATGCCACTATTAAGGCAATGAAAATTCGCATATCCATAACCCTTTCTCATTCTCATGGTGGCAAATTTTTTATTAGATTTTTTCTTTCTTTTTTTTTTTTGGGTTTCCCTGTTAATGTTTGGTTAATTGGCGGGATGGAGGGCACACAGCTCCCGAGTACAAGCCCGCAGAAGGTTTTGCTATGTTTAGAAGGTGGATATCTGGGGAGCCTTTGTAACACAGTTAGTTCATCACACTTCCAACTTCAAAACAATTGACATAATTCCAACTTCAAAGCACTGATGTGAACTATGCTTTACCATGGTTTATTAACATTCATCTCTCTCTCTCCTGTGTTAAGAAGTTTAAGACATTTACTTTTAACTAATAAAAATATTATCCCCTTATAGGATTTCCATTAAAACTCATGTATATTAGCAATAGCCAGCTTGAAATTAAGAATCAAATCTTGTAAAGGGGGCATTTCAGGGATTTTAGATCAAAGCAAGGTCTGGCACTCAAAACAATTACAAATAGAGTTTTTTTGAAGGACTGCCAACAGGGTCATTAAGAACCTAATTAAAAGTGATCTTAGAGGTCTAAGAAAGAAGAGTTAAAAAAATTTTAACCTAATTTCATTCGGTTGAAACCGTGTATGTACTGTTTTTTTATCTTTTTTTTTTCCGTGAACTAGCCAATTTAAAAACTAAATAAAAAAAAAAGGTCCAACAACATAAAATGTCAGTTTAAACACCATATTTAAGAGACCTATTTCTTGTATTAAAAAATAAATTAATAACTATAATGTTACAACCACTTCTGAGGTACATAAAACATGAAGGCATTTTCCTTTCTCAAGCCATTGATAAATGAACTTATCATAATGTGTAAAGGCCCCAAATTACCCCCTTTCCCGTTAAAGCTTGGTACATGGCGTGGCACCTTGAGTAAGACAGGTGCAAAAAATTTTTAAGTCGCAACACTTTTTCAGTACTTAAGCAAGTTGTCCTCCATTTGTATCTCTATTTTTGTGAAGGAGATGAAAGCAGAAGAGAAACCGATCAGGTGTGCTTCTTATCCGTTCAAAAACTAATGTACAAAATTAGGATTCGGTAAAGCAACGTTATCACTTATCTCGAAGTTCCTTTTTCGGGAGTGCATCAAATCTCCTGAATCTGAAATTGAACCTTATACCTACAGCAAATCAAATAAATGAAAATATTTAGTTGCCAAATAAAAACATTATATAGTGATGGGCACTTCTTTCAAAATGATCTGAAGCAGATATAAATAGAGAGAGAAGGATGCAATAAAGTACGTTCTTCACATATTTGGGACATTAGTTCAATAATATTTCTGAAGAAACAGTAAGCATTACCATAGGAATTTCTCGAGAAGAACTTTAGTATCTCGTCAATAATTATAACCTGCAGCAGATGGAGAATAATTAAGGTAAGCAAAATGGATCATAACTCGCTAGATGCCACACCATACCCACCAATAACTCAGAGAGGAAAATTACGAAGAAGTTAAAAGTAAATGGTACATGCAATAGTGGAAGCACACCTCTTTGGCATCAAGTTTTTTTTTTTTTTTTTTTTGGCTCAGTCTTTAGCATGAAGCTATTTCCACAAAGTTAAAAGGCCCCAAGATAAAGACCGGTTCAGATAATAAAATGAAGAAGGTGCCATGCAAAAATTATACCAAATTATCATTGACAAGGCTCTTTATTAAATATAAAGCAATATCATATCACAACACATATACCCCTTACAAGCTATGCTACTTAGAACTTACAGGGCAAGAAAGGTATAGGATAACAGTCCACTCAGCCCAAGACAAAGGTGTAACCTATAAAAAAAAAAACATATGTCATGCCCTTAAGTTAATTTCCTCAAAGAAGAAAAAAAGTAGTAATAAATTGAATATCAACGTGAATAGCAGAAAGAGAAAATAACTTACAGAGAAGAGTGTAGATAGCGGAGGAACATACAAAATTAGTATGTGAAAGAGCATTGTTAGGATGATTGAAGCAACCAGCCACAAATTACTCCAAGGAGGAATTACCCTAAAATTAAGCAGAGTTGAGAAAGAGTTAGAGCTAAATCTTTCCTTTACTTTTTCGTTTTTTCTCCTTGTGCTCTGACTTAACTACTAGAGAAGGAAACACTATACTCACAAAAGAGATTGGTTTTCACTGAGATTATTCAAAGCGTTAAACATCTCAACAACAACAAGCACAGTCATGGACACAGTCGATGGATGCCGATCCTCAAAGATACTGCATGGATAAGTGGTCTCCCTTGTTGAGCAGGTATCAAAATTCATCTGAAACAAATGAAGTTAGTAGGTATTCTGAAAGAAATATGCAAAGACATGCCAACCTAGAAGGGAGATTTTATAAGCCTGTGATCATATATATATAGAAGCTAAAAGTGCAGAGCAAGGTGTTTTGCTCCACAAAGTGAGTGCTCCAGATTTATGATGCTGAATTTTAATATTAGAATGACACAATATACACCCAAAACATACATGTGCGAAAATTAATTTAAAAGGGAAAAACTTGAATGTATAAACCACCCCCAGAAAATCCCCAAAAGACCCAATTACTGTTAAACAAACAAAGCTCAAGCATTAAAACATAAAAGTTTCAGAAGATTTATTCACCAAATTTTAGTAAATAGTTAATTAATCCAACCAATCTAACTACAGTTTGCTATTAAATGTCTTGTACATCTTAGACAATTCTTTACAACAAAAACACCAGGTAACAAAAACAAACCACACACCATGGCCACAAACAGGGAGGAAAGAAACAGCTACTTCTTAAAGGGTTTATATTTGATGAAGTGTCAATGCATGGTACCTATACACTATCTCTTAACCAAAGTAAATATAAAAGTTGAGAATTTTAAAAAAATAAATATTCATAATTTTAAAAATATTTATTTTGAAAGACTTTTGAACTTCTAACTTTGCACATTATGAGGTGGCCATTTGTGATAAAGTGATAGTGTATAAGTACTATACAGTGACAATGCATCAAATGTAAACCCCTCCTAAATATATTCCTCAAAAACCAAACCCAAAGGCATAAATGCATTAACATCAAAAGCACAACCAGGAGAGATGCCCATGCCAAGGAACTCAGAACTAGACCTGTGTATTAGTAACATAAAAGAAAATAGAAACTTACCAATTCAGCATATGGTAGTTTAGGACCAGTTTCCGCATAAACAAACCACCATATGAACCCAGCAACAGTGGCAAGGCCAACATAAGCTACATCAAGGAGCAAAACATTTCTTACTACTGGAAATTTAAAAAAAAAAAAAAGACAAAGAAAAACGAAGTAACACCATTGATTGAATCAATCCAAATGATGTCAGAAACTAATAATAACCCTCAAAATTTCATCGTTAACAAATGCATATAGGAAGCAAAGCAACATGATATTGCAATTTGAAAGTGTTCAGAAGATGCACCAAAAGTGAAACAAAGCATCCCAATTGATTAGAATAGATAAAAGTTAGAATAGCTACAATATTTATAGCTACCTCCAATCACCAAATAACGGAAGAACAGCCAGCCAGTGACCACTGCTTCACCAACCTGCACATCCAAATTAAATATGGTGACAGACCTGAACTGAAACAGAAAAATACAGTTTCCTATAAATGAATTGGATATTACCAAAAAAAATAAAAAGCAAGAAATCTAATTAATTTAAATGATTCTCTATAGATGTCGTATATATTCATCCTTTATTATGCTACACTAAAGAAAAGAAATGTAAAAATTCAGTTATAATAGATCAAAACTGAAACATGGGAAGAGTTTAATTTCAAGGTTTGCACCTTTACATCTTAAAATTAGACTCAAATCAGGACAAATGAAAGAAGGCATGAAGCTATAGGAAAACAATGAATCAATAAAAGCAGCACCTTGCGAGGTTTAGCCTTCATCACGTCAGAGTCCTGCTTATTAAACCCAATGGCAGTGGCTGGCAATCCATCAGTAACCAAGTTGACCCATAGCAGCTGGACCTGGACATTATTAAAAAACCATAAAAAACTCAGAAATTTATCTATTTAGGACCACCAAATAAAATAAAAAAATCTGATAAGGGCTATCAAAATAATTACTGTCTTCATTTAATAGAAAATAAGTCCTGGTTATGAACCATCAAGAAAGTAATAAAAATACAATGCAAATGATATGAAAAAGAATGCCCAGGCCAGGATAAATGCTCTTGGGACGCTAAGATGTAAAGAGCTTCTCATTGTTGATATTCAATTAATGAAGATACCCAAGAGTTCTAAACAAAATGTAGTTCCTTTTTTCTCCCCTCATTTTAACATCAGATGCTAAATTGAAGTACAAAATCAACATACTCACAGGTGCAAGGGTATCAGGTATTCCTAGCACAGCTGCCACAAAAATACAAACCACTTCACCGATATTTGAAGAGATCATGTATCTAATGAATTGCTTTGTATTGTTGTATATAGCCCTTCCTTCTGCAACAGCCTGCCCAAAATTGGAAAGTTCAACAATTTGTACGTCATTTACATGTAGATATGCACGTAAATAGTTGCATGTATTTCAAAACAATAATAATAACATGAATACAAATAACAGTAACTAACATACCGCCACAATGGTAGCAAAATTGTCATCAGCTAAAACCATGTCTGAAGCACTCTGTAATTGAAAGGATAATGATAGTAAGAATGAAGGAAAAATTAAATGAAAGAGGACAACTCTCCTAGGAACACCCAAGTGAAGGTATCAGATTACATAAAAATCCTTAACTACAGCAACATTGGAGTGAAATGGATTATGAATGCAAAGTTAGGAATGTAGAAAATATATATCCTTTAGGTAACTCAAATGCTTATATTATTTTTATGTTCAAGTTACCCAAATTTATAAAATTGTCATTTCAGACATCCTATCATTCATAAAACATGAAAGAACAGATGAAATCCAATGAACCTGAGAAGAGAAAAATTATGCATACCTTTGCAACTGCTGTTCCAGATCCCATCGCAATTCCAATATCTGCTTTCTTAAGTGCAGGTGCATCATTGACACCATCACCAGTCATGGCAACCTATTAAAAATCATTCTTGTTACAAATTATACAAGATAACAGCACTGGGCACACATAATTAGAGGGGAAAGAATGATAACTCCACATACACACACACAAAACACATATATGACATATAAGAACAATTAAACTTAAGATGCATCCTGCAAGAACACTGTTTATCCCCCAGCAGTCATATTCTCAAGATAAATCCTTCTAAATTAAGGATAAAGCCAAAACATATTAAGATAACAGTTGCCAATCTCTTGTGCCCTAGCTCACCAAATATATAAGTTTTGTTTTAAGAACTTAAATTACTTCATCAGACACAAATCCTCCTAAGACTACATGTGGAACCAATAAGTGATGAGATGAATGATAAGCATTCTTGTTGTTCAACTCTTCCTAAAAAAAATATTTTACTTTGAAGTTACACTTTCTTATCACCAATTTTCAACTGCAAACTATTGGTGTTTTGGTCCCCATTAATTCAACAAACAAAACAACTTTTAAGGATTGCGTACTGGTAGAGATTCAATCTTCATTTCTCTTTCCCCTCAAATTTCTTTATAAATTTGTTATTTTACATTCCAACAAGAGAGATGCATAGATAGATGATAGAATGAAGTTCTGGTAATGCAGCACAAGAAGTGATGTGACCATACAATTGCATTATAAGGTTTTGAATTTGCTCTCTCTACAAACATCAATATTCCTGACTGATACTAAGACAATACTGCCAACAACTACATAACCATTTGAATTCTTCTGCCAATACCTCAAGGTTCCCATGGCAGCTATTATGGTGAACAAAATAACAGCAATGTCAATAGCAATAGAAAACAATGTAAATGTATTGCAAGTTTATAACCAGGAAACTATTAAGAAACCTACTACTTCATTCTGATTTTGTAAGGCCTCAACCAGCATCCTTTTATGAGAAGGCTCAACCCTGGAAATTAGAGAAACATATATATCAACAGAATGAATTTTTATATACAAAACAACAACTAAAAAATGAAGAGCAGAGACGACAACAAGCCCTAGACAGTCAGATAACATCAAGAAAATGATACACTGTATAAATCAAACCCTTAATACCTGGTGAACAGTGCCAGACGTTGCAATGCAACTGTTTGCTGCATTGCTGGAAGCTCTTCAAACTCAGCAGCAGTATACGAACACCCAACAAAATCTACCAAGTGATCAAAAGCACCTATCTTACGACAAACTGATTCGGCTGTGGACTGAAATTTCCTCTCAAATTAGATAAGCAAGTGACAATGAGGGGGGAAAAGAAAAATAATATATGAAAGAACCAGGGGATACAATGCCAACTTACCTTATTATCTCCAGTAACAACAATAACACGTATACCAGCAGTCATGCATGAAAGCATAGCATTCCTCACTTCCTCTCTTGGAGGATCAAGCATTCCAACCTTTTAGAAAGGATGAACAGTACAAAGAATATAGATAAGGAAAAGGAAAAACTAGCACTTATGCATCTGTCTATCAGTTATTGTGAGCGAAAGAAAAAGGGATACATAAAGAACAGAAGCAAATGAAACAGTTACATGAAGCATGCAGGAAACCACAATAAGCTATGCACAGAAAAGTGGACTTAAGCATTCTATCATGAAAAGAAAGCATACCAACCCAATAAATGTAAGCTCTTTCTCATCATCAATGGTGAGAATCTGTTGACCATTGGGCATTATCTTCAAGGCTAAAGCCAGACATCTCAATGTTTCTTTCCCTGCAAAACTGACCAATAAAGAAACATTGTGTAAATCAGAGCTGAACCAGTAAGTATGACTATTGATCAGGTAAGATACAAAATCTTGCCAATGCCATCCTGATCTTGGAAGATTTAACAGTAGCCAGCAATTGCATAAACTAAACAAAACATAAAGAAAGAAATTTTAATATCATTGAAAAATGAGACACAAGTTAGCATGCATTTTCATCAAGATCTTATCTATGCTTTTGCATTCTTTTAGCATAAATTTGCATAAACTTCACTTCAAATAAGCAATTTTTGGACATTTTATAACTAGGATATTAGTGTCTTTGCACTCCTGCACTCAGTTACTCAAAATAATATAGAACACTCTGCCATCCAAAAAAATCAAGGTATATTCTAGTTTACTTTCCTCTTATCTATTGTTTTTGACCTGAGAAGTCAATGTGCACCACATCCAGACATCAACATTACAATTGACGGAGCACCCTGTCATAAAATTTTTATCAAACAATAACCTTAGACTTCATCAGGCACCTTCATACTTATCTCTTCCAACACTCAAGAGCTTAAGGCTCTACTCCTACTGGACATCTGATGCATTGTAAATTAAGCAGATTTGGGAAGGTGGGAGAGGAATAACATAAGTGAGTAATGCATAGATGGAAAAAAGATGAAATCTAACCTGTGGAATCTTGACTCCAGCTCAGTCCGAAGTGTAGCAGTCAATGGCACAGTGGAACCATCACTATTGCAGAGGATATTTGTGCATCTAGAGATGATACTCTCAGGAGCACCTTTAGAAAACATGATCTCCATCTGCTTATGGCTACAAAGGACACTCATCATCTTGCGATCCCGGGAAAATTCCAAAACAGAAACCTGCAAAGGATCAATAAGTGCTTGATCAGAGAATGTTCATCATCATAGTTGATTAAGGAAAACCTTTAAGATGGAGATATCCATCGTCATAATATACCAATTCTTTATGACCAATTACCAACAAGCAGAACCGTAAAATTATCCAGAACATGTCAAGAGTAAAACAAAAACAAAAAATCCCTTTCCCTAAAGAGTTTAAACATGAAATGGAAATCCATCACATCTAGCAAAGTCAATGTCAGATTGTCGATGTGCAAACAATTCGACTCAAATCCTACAAACCTGCACAGAAAAAACCAGGGGCAAAAGTAACATACGAAAACAATATCTAAGTCCAAACCTTTTTAAATTGGTTTTCCCAATAGTGATTACAGTAGGAGGCTCGCTCATGCTTGCTCAGCATGTTCAGAGCATAAGGCATAGAGTCAAAGCCAGGAAGACCAACCTGAAAGAATCAATGAAAAAATTAAGACCTACCTGCAAATGAATAATCGCAGTGCAAAAGGCATAAACAAAAAAAATACAAAAGGGGAAGGGCGGGGGGAAGAGAGAGAGAATGAGCAATGACAATTATTAGCTGAAGCTTGATTTAATGTGTTGGATAAGTAAAAAGTCACATGCACAAGATGCACAGGAGAATGGCTGCACATCAAAGGAACTGCATGTAGCAGACCATTAGGCCAAAATATACTAACCTTCTCTGCCAAGACTCGGAGGGCTACTTCAGTTGACTCACCAATTTTTTCATAGTTTCCCTTGTCAGGGTTATACTGTAAGAGAGACTCATTGCATAGAGCTGAACACATTGCTATGTGAAGAAGACAGGGTAACTGAGCTGGGAATTCAAGCTACAAAACAATTAAATGTCATATAGATGCAGTGCAGAATGAAATAATCCTAAATGGTTCAGAAGTTAACAACCAAATATATGACATCATGCCTCATCCGTATCACGTCCCATTCACCAAGAAGTTTGTTAACCAAGAATATATGTGTGTATGTGTGAGTATGATAAGCACAATCATCAATCACTGCATCTAAGCAATATAATGAGGCATCTTTCAATTTATGTCACATGTTCACCCCATATCTAAGCATTTGTACAGTATGATTCTAAGGTCAATTGGTCAAAGACCTGTGTGGCTGGTAGACAGGAATTGAATAAAGAATTCAACCTTATTCTGTGTAATATGTTTTCCAACATAAACAAACAACCCTGGAGTACACTCTTGTGATCCAAATTATGGGGCATCTTGCAATAATGATGATGATGAACATGAGGAACCATCTTTATTATTAATTATATGCCAGCTTCCATCTTTGACATACGCTCTATAAATCAAAAGTATTGTCGCTAGTAGAACATATACTTTTAAGTCAAATCATATAAAAGCAATACCTGAATCCCACTGCTGTCAAAAATAAAGCCTTCAGGTGCATAAGTTGTCCCACTGACACCAAATTCAGCAACTGCAGGACCATGTTGTACATAATTGACCACACATATCTGAGGTAAGGGAAAAACAGAAAGAATTATCTTTCTGTAAAGCAGTAAAATGATACTAAAGCTTGATTATGTAAAAGCAATTTAAGCAGGTCTTCCCTTTAACCAGCTTCAAGAAGGCCCAAGTTTCTATTATTATTTTGCGATATATCAGAAACTGAAATCAAGGATACTGTATGAATTATAAGTGTCACAGCACACTTATCCATTGATTTTTTCCACAAATGTTTCAATTTGCAAACAAACCAAATCTTGGAAGCACCAGCTTAGCAACAACAGCATTGATAATATTAATGACTTAAAAAACCAAGAAGAAAAAAAATGATTTGGAAGGTAAGATATAACACTCTTGATAATTAAGTGTTCTAGTACTATTACCTTTGAAACAGACATCATATTTGTCGTCAGAGTTCCTGTCTTGTCACTGCAAATCACTGTGGTACAGCCTAAAGTTTCTACTGATGGCAAGGATCGAACAATAGCATTCAGTCGAGCCATTCGCTTTGTTCCGAGGGCCAAACACCTTGAACAGGTGAAAAATCATCACATAGAAAACGAAAGTTAGCCTCCAATTTGATAAAGCATATGCCTTGGGCAAAAAAACCTGAAAGCAGCCGAAAAAAATGCAAGTTTTAACCATCCCTCGTAAATATAGATAAGGTGGATTCCAGTACGATCCCTCATTAATGCAAGTTTACACCTAACCAATTATGAAAGTTCAAAACACATTTGGCTAATATATAACATAACCTTGTCAAATAATTGATAGCACCAATCAATATAATTTTACAACTACCATGTAAGAGAGTTTGAGACATTTTCAGATTCTTGAGTAATTTCTGCTATTTCATGGTGCAAGAATTTACAAGACAAGGGACTTTTACATCATATCTTCTGCTGTCTTTTCCATACACCAATCTTTTAATACACATTTTAATCTTTTATTCAGTTTCAAAGCAAAAATGTCCAGAACAATGAATCTATGTGTTGGCCACATAGGATTCTTTTGTAAGGACTTACTCTAGGAAATTCATACACCAAAAGAAGTTTGAACCACTCACGTTGTTACAACAGCAGGAAGCCCTTCAGGAATTGCTGCGACTGCAAGTGCAACTGCAATCTAGGAAGGCACAACCAAGTAGTTCAAAGTTAAAATGTAGGAAAATACATCTTTTATGGAAAACAACCATAAAGTAAACGAAAATAGAGTAGATTACCACGACATTACCTTAAAGTAATGAATTGCACCCCGCAAGAACCCACCATGAGAAGGGTCACGAAAATGTCCAATATTTACAATCCACACCAATACACAAATACCTGCAATAACCTAAAAACACACCGCTGTTCACAAATGGAAACCACAGCAGGTTATCATATCTACCAGATATAAGTTGAAGCTTAAACAGATGATTCAACTCACCTTAGCCAAAAAGGTACCAAATTCATCCAACTTCTTTTTCAAGGGTGTCACTTCCTGCAACCAATCGTAGACGAGAAAGATTAGAATAAACCCATACACCCATACTGCCTATCTTTGTAAACCACAATCTAAATTCAGACTCATAAAAATTGCATAGAGATTAAAATTGGGAGATATAAACCTCCAAACTAGTTAAGCACAACAACAATTTCTCAAGCGCCAACTTGACAGAAAGAGCACAAGTCAGACAACCATTATCCATTATGGAGGGTTTATTTCACCAAGCATCTAGTATCATAACTTTAAATCCACCTAGCCATATAAGGAACCAACTTTTTGGAAGCAAATCTCCACAGAATATAATATCAGAACAAAACTCCTTACATCAGGTAGAAAAACAAAGGGATAGTAACATTCCTCCAAGGGAAAATGGAAAAGAGATGTCTAGGCAAAATGTCCTAGTGAAAATATGAAAATTTACATACATCATCTGTTTGCAACATTGAATCACGAATGTTGCCCATGGCAGTGTTTGCACCAACTCCGATAACAACAGCTCTTGCCCTACCAGCAACCACAACTGTACCCTGGCAATCCAAATATGTTAAAATATGTTGCTAATAACATACAAAAGCATGGAGTTTTTACAATGGGTCTAACTGGGATCAAGCAAATGAAAAGAACATTTAACTTCTCAAATCCGATCCAATTCTTGTAAGATATAACACCTGGTCAAATCCATACCATAAGGCTATTGACAGAAGACTTCAGAAACAAAAAGCGGCAATTATAATCTTTCACACTTTCCACTTTCAAATGAACTATGGACCATCAATTAAAATTTCAAATCTTTACAACCAAAACTGGGAAACAGAAGGCACAAAGTCCATAACATAGAAACTGAAAGCATATCCAACTGAATAAAATGAATGCAGTAGTCACATGACCTTAAAGGCTCTAAAATCATACATAACCTAGTACTTTATTCAGTTAAAAAATTAAAACAGTAATAGCATGACTAGTTTACCTTTCTAGAATAGCCCTTGATCACATAGGTGCCAGAGCACCATTAATAATGCAGTAAACTAAATGAATACATTCAGACCAGTGAAAATTCATGATCCAACGAAACTTAAACAGATGAAAAAAGTGATATGGTTCCTTGCCAACAGTTATGGTCTACTATGCACCAAATTCATTTGGACTCTATTCAATCAAATCTAATTTCAGCAGCTAGCTGAAACAATGCAATGAAACCATGAATTTCAGTTCCTTACATTCATAAGCAACTCATCATGTCACCTACAGAGTGCAACAAATTTTAAAGTCTTACTGAGAAAAGAATATTTGTCTTGTCTTGATATACAGCATTTGTTGCTATGGTGGACTCAAGGTCTTTTTCCACGGAGCTGCTCTCACCTACCATTACACAAAATCTTAGCTGAAATTGAACCATGCAGACAAGGAAAATGTTCACAGGAAATAAGTTGATATCAACCAAAAATCCAATGGTCACTAGCGGTAAATCAAGAATGAATGGATAAAAGAAATAGAACACCAAATATATATTCCCTGATAGATGTGCACCAAAGGCTACAACGAAATTCTATAAGCATGGTCTTGTAACTGAATATTCTTGGCAAGTAACCACTTAGAATATAAGGCAAAGAAAGAAAATCTTCCAATTTCTATGAAAGTGCAAACAATTTATGAAGAAAACAAAGCAAAGGCACTGGTCTCTTTGCAAACATCAATGACTTGTGACCCCAATGTTTTTCACTTCAATCAACATGTAAGTATGATAACAAAGTTATAATTGTGTGCACAGAAATATGCATAATCAAATTTCAATGAAAACGCATTACGTCCCTCAAAATTAAACCATATAAACATTAATCACATATAAGAGCCATGATATTCACTTGAAAGTGAATAATTTTTCCTGAAATTCATTTAAAATTTCAAAATCTTACTCATCCAAACAAATACTCAAATATTTTACAAACAAGAGATCCAATCAAGTTTTAGTTTCTTATAAAGCAGAAATGAACCACAAAAATAATCAAACATTAATTGCTCACTGCATGAAACAAAGGCTAAAAGCATCTAAGGACTTCCAAAGTAGACTCACTCGCAATATAATGTGAAAGACAGCAGCTAGACTAGATTTTTTTCAATCAATTTCTAAGGCGTGTTAAAGCTGTTGCAAATCACCGATAATGGAAAGTGTTTGAACTCAACTCCTATATATTTGGCACAAACAAGCAACAACCAAGTCTTCCTCTAATCATCACCAGAAATCTAGGGTTACTCTCCTTGAACTGAACTTCAAATGTCAAAGGTTTTAAAGCAGCATTCAACAAACAACATATTCAATAGACCTGGTTATCTGCTTTAAAAATGAGAATGTTAAAAATCCAATGTCAGACTCCAAACATTACTGCTAAACCAGCACCACATAGAGAAACCTTAATGCATGCATCTCTGTAAGTCACACACTCTCTTAAATAGCACCACAAAGTTCCAGCGGATTCACTCAATTTGCTAGATAACCCATAAGGGCCACCTCAACCTGTAAACTTAAGATTTTTTGTTTTCATTTATATTAACTAGAAGCCATGATACAACAATAGAGAATGGTTTGTACCAGTAAGAATTGCTTGATCAACACGTAACTGATCGCTTAGCATCTCAATCATTCTCATATCAGCTGGAATTTTGCTTCCCACTATTCAAGTTACAGAAGGCAAGACAAAAACAATAACTCTTTAATATCTCACTAAAACAAGTAATGACAAAATGATTTTGAAATTTAGAATAGATGACCAACTTACCACTAACTTCTACCACATCTCCTGGAACTAGCTCTGTTGCAGGAAGTATTGAGAAACAACCTGCAATAACCACTTTGGAAGTCAAAAAAAATGCATTTAACTGACCTTTCAATCAGGTATCAATAGAGGCATAAGCAGAGAAATGAAATAGAAAAGAAACAAAAACAGATTGAATAAACATTTTAAACACAAGTTTTATGCAAAAAACATAAGAGCTCAACTAAAAACAACAATCTCAAGGAACTAACATCAACAACAACGGATTATACCCATTACTTTGACATTAACTGGTTCAAAACAGAAGATTGTCCCAAGATGCCTAACTATCCAGATACCACAACGCAATTGACTGTGAAAACCATTGTCCAAACATATAATGATACAAACAAAATAAAAAATAAAATCACACTATTTTTCTTTACTAACTCTTCTAACAAAACAAATAACATATTAAACCACTGGCTTATCAAACCACCACATTAAAACCAACATGTATAAATGATAATGTTATATCATCATTTGATTTACCATTGCGCAGCACAGTTGCAATATCAGCTTGGTAGGCACGTAGCTCCTACAATAAAAAATATAAATATCAAATAAGTCTTTGTTGATATTTTATGCACAAAAAGACTAAGGGACCAGTGGACAATCTCCTTTTATATCATTTTATGGTGGTGGAAATTAGGCCCATGCTTTTTGATTTGTTAGTAGGTTATGCCTAAGAAGGCAGTTGACATATTGGAAAGATGGGGAGATATCACTGGTCAGAGCAAGAGCTATATCGCCTCCTTGATGGTCCAACCCTCACTCTCTTTTGGGCTCTCCTGTACCACCAATAGGATTGTTGCCACAGCCTTTGCATGCTGAAGGCATCATTCTTATTATCAAAAAACATTCATGTGAGTGGCCTCGAATTGAGATTCGAAAACATACCTCAAGAGCCTTTTCAGCATTTGTTTCTGTAATTACTCCTACGGCGGCATTGGCAGCCAATATCAGGAGGATAACCTGTAAATTAGATAACCATATATATTATTTAAAACAATATGATATAAACCAAGCATGGAGACACTAGAACAACATTCTAATATGGATTTACATATCAGCAGGAAACAAAAAAGCCGTAAGAAAGTTGGATATTATACAGGCACCAATGAAATCCAATTATAAAGGTAGGCCATACAAGTTAAATTTATAAGGTCCATATTTCTTTGGACAAGTGAGAGATTTTAGATAACACCCTAGAACTGTATAAAATAGACCTGCCAATCTCCAAGCCACCTGGCCCGATTTTTCCAGTTTACAGCTTAAATGCCTAAGCTAGCCAGAATTTTGAGTTTACAGGTTATATGCCTAACTTCATTAACTCTATGCTCAAATATAATTACCACAAGTTGTCCAAATTTTCCCTCCTTTCCAAAGAGTACAATTGGGCAGTTGGTGCTTCCCCAAATGTATTAGATAAAAATACATTGAACATTCTCTAGAGTCAATTGCAAGTTGGTCCAAATTGAACCATGCCCTGATCAATCCAGCATATTGCCAACTTAGCAAGATATGATTCATTTAACTTGACCACTACACAGAAGGCAAGAAACTGCTGAGGAAAGTGCCCACGATAAACACTCAACAAATATCTTGACAAAGACTAGCATTCACAATTTTCATTTAATTTACAAAAATGATAAAAAAGACATATGCATGTTCTGGGAAATGATAAAAAGAAATAAGCTTATCGAATCAAGCATGCTCATCTTACAGAAGGCTCCAAGAATGCAGTTAAGCCAGTCTCTCCATTAATCAGAGCCAAAACAAAAGAAACAACCGCCGCAGCAATCAATATCTTAACAAGCAAATCATCAAATTGCTTGAAAACCAATTTCCAAAATGGAGTCCCTGCATCAGTATTGTAATACAAACCTTTTAGCAAATTTCAACACTATTTATGCAGAAATAGGTTCAGAAGCATGAAAAAGAAAATGAGAGATCATCATAAAAATATCCACTTTACAACAAAAAATTGGATTGTGAATAATTGTTTGTTCCAAATCAATAACTGGCAGTGCCAGAAATAACTCATGGGGTAGGTAAACTCCAGGGACCACTGCCTGAGGCAACCTCTTGACATTACTACTTTCACTTAAAGCAAATGCTCTTGTACTTCTTTCTCCAAAGGAGCATAAATGCCAAAAATTAATTATCAAAGCAAAAACAACCTCAATAGCCCTTTTAATAAGCTCAACCTCTGGAAATACCAGGATTTTGAGCCACAGCTAGCCTCTTTTTTCCTGAATACCAATCTATGAGAAGATTGTCATAATTTCACAGGACAGTCATCGTTAAGCTAATTCTAAAAGCATAAAGGCCCTTCAGACAACCACATATATGTCAACAGGCTTCCCATAAAACATGATTTTCTGGAGTTTGGCTCAAATGCAATGAAAAATAGGCGAACCACAAAGCAATGCTTGATGAAGAAAAGGTTCATGGAAATCTAGAGGATCTGATTACAGCAATTAAAATCTAACCGTTTAAATTACTGCATAACGACAACTATAACCAAAAAGTGCACAGAAATACAGAGGAGCTGATTATAGTAACTAACATGTCATATTTCAAATTGATGCATAATTATAACCACATACAAAATGCAAGCATCAAGGTTTATAAATGCAATTCTTAAAGCAATTAGTAAATAAAACTCAAAATGAGAGATGAGATAGCATTTTGCAGGTGCTTACTTTCTCCTTCAGGCAGCACTGGAGACCATAAAACAAGCATGCAAGGAAAGGAAAACACAAAATTAGAAGAGGGGTAAAAACAGAAATGAATACCACATTTCATAATATTCATGCATCACGATCAACATTGTTGATTAAAAAACTGCAATAACTAGAGGAAACGTCCCAAAATAAAAGCATCATGACAGCGTTTATAAATGATTTCTGTGTTAACATTTTGTCAATTCCACACGGAAAAATAAATAATAATAACTTACCATTTTTCCCATAAAGCCTAGCATGTTGTGAAACCTGAAATTGAAAATTAGAAATCCAATATTAGCAAAAATACTCGATGCAGTTTATAATTTAGCTCTAATAAGTAATAATCTAAAGGAACTAAAAATGAACTCCAGTTCCGATTAGGAAACGAGCAAACGCCTACCTGAGTATCAGTGAGACCTTTCGTTGAGTCTACCTCAAAGAAATCCAAAACCTAACAACAAGGAAACACAAGAGGCAATCAATTCCAAAATGCCTCCGCTGAAAAAAGCGACCTCAACAAATAGAAAATAATCAAAACGAAAACAACCAAGACCTCGATCTCAAAAACGAACGCAGTAATCAAAATCTTGACGCACGAACTAAGAACTAAGAGTTCGCTGCAGTTGAGTCAAATTAATTTGAATGAAAAATGTAGAGAGAAACAGAAATGAGAAATACCTCGGAAACAGATCTTGCATAGGCGTCCTCCATTGAGGATCGGGGGATGATAAAATTTGGTGTTTTTCTTTGTATCGATTGGGGTCCTCTTGGCTTTCTCTTTGGCTCGGGGTTTATGCTTATCTACCGTCTGTTGTAGTTAACTAAAACTCTCCTGATAATTTATCAAAAAAATAAATCTCTCCTACAAATATTAAGCGCCGTTGGGATTTTCCGATTTTGAGTGTTCAGTTTCCGGGTTTATTCTGGGTCACCGACTTAAGATAGGGGCGGACTCAAGTTGGGCCGGCCTCGGGCTTTGGATTTGCTAGCGAGTTTTATGTTTTTAGGCCACTGAATTTGCACGTGGTTAGCAGTTACCCCGCTTACCAATACCATGCAACGGTTAAAGTAGGCCCTCGGGCACTGTCCCCATGAAACAAAATATTAAAAAAATAAATAAAAATATGAGGGAGTCTTTTTTATCAATTAAGTGGGGGAAGTTTGCTAGGCTGATTGGGAGACTAGCTTTCATGTAATAAAAGAAAATATAAAATACGTATAATGATGATTTGGACTATGCAAGTGAATTGGTTTGTTTGCTTTGGTATTTGGTACATGTTTTTTCTTATGATAACAATTTATGGAACCCTATGAAAGCAAATGTGCAAATCAAATGATTAAGATGTTATGGTCAATTTTGCATGTGCGGAATAAGTAGTCCAATTGCAAATTTATGAAAAGTTAAGTGTTTGTTGTACCTGCTCTAATGCCCCCATAAACTTGATTAACTTGATTTTTACTCCCTACTCAATTCACTAATTGAAAATACTAGTAATACCCTTTTTTTGTTAATCTAATTAAAATCAGTTCAACTCTCATGTCTACTGTCATTGAAATGTCTATGATAGGAATCCAACCGTTGCAAATTAAATATCATGACAAACAATGATGGTTAGTAGTTTGGATGGAATTTGAACATGCAAAATATAAATTTTCACAAGGAAAACAAGTACCGGTGAATTGGTGTTGACCTCGATAACATTTTGGTCTTTTTTTCTTTTCGAATTTATTCCAACAACACAAACCTAATAATGAATTAACACAGTCAATCTTGTAGATCTTATGTTGTTAATATAATCATATATTTGTGATGAATTTTTAATTTTTTTTAAATCTATAAAATCAAGAGTTTAACGTGCTATTGTATATCATGCAATGACTAATAAACTTTAAATGCTTAAGCCTTAAGTTGTGGGGTGAAAATTTAAACTCGTTATGCTTTTGCCAACATTTTTTTAGGCAACAAATAAAACAATGGTGACACTTCCCATTGTTTAACCTTAACTTCACCCTTTATAAAAATCCAAATTCGATTAATTACAAGTTCTTAATCAACCACCAAAACCTTTAATTACTAAATTAGCCATCACTTTCATGCACTAATACACCTTTCTTCTTTTTTTTATCAAAAGGTACAGTTTATGGGCTAACGTATATAAATGAAGTTACTATAAACCACGATGACATAGATCTTTGCACAATGCATTTGCACTCAGTATTTCATTGCGGCCCGCGACCTACCGCTTTGGGCTGCAAAGCTGTCTTCTGTATGTGGGTTGGGCTAGTGCCCAGTCATATATATATATATATATATATATATATACATAATCTCTTTAAACATTTACCTATTTCAAAATCTGACATCCCAGGGCCAGCATTTGATGAATTGCCATGTGGCCACGCGTGTGATAATTCCTATTTGTTCGGCTTTGTTCAAAGTCACTTGAAAATAGGAAAATGAAAAGAAAAAGCCTATAAATTAATGTACAATTCGATGATGTTTATCGTTCACGCCTGTCATTTGTCTAAATACATGTTAGCTGTCCATTTCATTCGAAAGGGATGAAAATCTGAAAAAAAAAGATTATCTTTAGGTCAGCTGGAGTTCTTTCTGCCACTTTGCAGAAGATGTTGGCGGGCTAGCTTAATGGATATTCTGAATTTCAGCCAAGTGCACCTGAGTTTTACAACAGCGAAACCTTCTTGCCATGCCTCTCTCGCAATTGCTGTCTTCATTTCTGAAAGCTACTGACAGGACGATATATGTCACGACAGATATTTTGAGAAGTCTGTGATTCATAAAAGGAAGAAAATTGTTTAATATGCATCTTGAGTTCTCGACCATGAGTCCATGCTAAACGGGATTTTAATGTGAAATATTGCAAACATAATCTGACTGGTAAAGACAACACATTGGTTTTATTTTATCCTGTTTTGTAGTGGACATTAACCTTAAAAGTGAATATACTATGATGTTATTTTATCAAAGTAAAAAAGGACAAGAAAGAAGGATTGACAGGACAAAGAGGGGAAGTGTTGTCCTTTTCCTAAGATCCAAGTCCTTTTCCAAGATATGGTTGCTAATTCTCAGGATGGCCTGGGAAACACCTTCACTAAAAGATTTTGAAGGGAAACCCACCAAAACAAAATTCAATAATTGCACCAGTATTATGTATGGATCACACTCTTGGTTGGTAGCTATCAGAGAGGGGTGGTAGGGTCGTGCTTTTGGGACCCTTTTGGTGGAAAATGAAGCTTGCCTTTTGCTTCCTTCCATCTGAAAAATTTGTCTGTTTTGGATATGGAATAGCATAGGTTACCAAATTTACCAACCCTACCTGGTTCCAAGCTAGGCTGGCACTTGCAGAAGTGGAAAATGGTGGGTCATTTTTCTTTCCATCCGGGATTGCCGGATTGGTATGTTTTTATAATTGCCTTGTGCTCTCTCTTCAATTTTTTGTGCTTGGGTGTGTGGTTGGGTGGGCGCAAATGGGCTACTGGGTACTCGCCTGATTAATGGCAAATGCAGAGACACCCTGTCCATCTAAGGACCACAGCTATTTTCTGTGGTGAGCCTTCTGTTTTTTTTTTTAATTTTTTCATTCTATCTTTTTTGGTTAAATATGAAGTTTCCTAGGTTAATATTGTTTCCCTTGTTTCCACATAATAAGCCTTTCAATCATTAAAAAAGGCAAAAAATAATAATAATAAGAGAGAGACCAGTCTTTCTGACAGTGTTGAGATTTAAACAGCAAATTTATTTGTGGATACCTCAAGTTCTCAGCATTCAAAATGTTAAGAGTCTTCCACGCAAACAAAGTTGAAAAATATGGTCGGCAGAACATTCTTTCAGCTTATTACTAGTTTTAAATATTACACTCTACAGTAGATAAGCCCGAAGAAATAAATTCTGTGCTAATAAAACCGGATTCTACAGTATGGGGCACCATCAATTACATGGTCTATGCATGATGATGTCAAGAAAAGAAACTGGAGAAAACCTACAATTTTTCACAAGTGAGTATTACTGATAAAATATAAAAATCCATATATATATATATACACCGATGACAGAGAAATTTAATTTATTTCTAATGTACTCAGGTTGTTTCCCACTGCATTGACTGGAACAAATAAAAAGTAGAATTGGAAGAAAAAAAAAACAAGAATTAGAAGGAAGGAACAAGATCCCTTTGATATCTAATGCCTTTTTTTTCTTTCCTTTTTACACATTCCTCCCATTTCTCTCTCAAAAGCAGCTGCAGCAGTAGAGACAAAAGCTGTTACAGTTTACCCTTTTGTCATTCCCAGTTTCTTTCCTGGAAACCACCTGTGCCAAGGGATTAATACACCACAAATTAGGTATATCTAACCATCAAATTTCCCCTTTTAGGCCACAGAAGAATCATATCCTAAATGCCCAAATTTCAGGGAAAAGAATATCTATGACAATTGAAAACAAAGACAAACCTGCATCTTTTGAACCTGCTTTCCCAGATTTCAAGAAACCAAATTTTTTCTGGAATGCTGATGTGCCCTGGAAGAAGCTCACGGTGGCATAGCTAAGTTTCAACTCATGAAAAAATATATAGTATATAATAGTGGAAGGCAAATTGTTCTAAAAGAGGGAGATAAGTACCTTAAACTGTGTACCCGAGAAGCCTTGGGAAAAGTCCAAGACATCCATTGAAGAATCTTTCTTGCAGTTCTTCTGTAAATACACCAAGAACACCCATTACTCTATTTTGCTGCAAATGAACCGACAGGCATAAAGTAAGAATATTGTAGTGTGGGTGTGGAACTTGCCTTGGGGAAGCTTATTACAGGGGAGCTGGCAGTGTCATCAAGATAAGAATGCTGTTGATTGCTACCATGTTCATTGATCTTCTTTTTGTTTTTGCTGCTTTTCTTAGCTAGTTCCAGAGCTGAAGGAGCAGAAGAGAAGCTCCCATTTTTATCAAGGCATTCCTCATAATCTTCGCAATAATGTCTTGGGCCAGAAGATGCATCAGACACCATGGACAAATCCTCCTCCTCATCTTCAACCACGAATCTAGTTCCTTTTCCTCCATAATCCTCATCAAAGTTCGCACCAAAGTTTTGACACCGAGTTTGAGAGTAAGAGGATTGATCTAAGTAGAGAGTCCAACCAGACTCACAACCACTGCCACATTGTGAAGCTGATACATTCATTGTCACACACTATTTCTGCGACCAAACTACAAAATGTGTTCTCTTGACAACCTCCCTTGTGTCTTACAAAGAAAGGAAACGGATTTGCTATGAACGATGAAAAGAAAGTAAGAAACGCTCTCTTTCGCTCTCTATCCTCTTGGATTTGCACATACATGCGAACTCTTGAAACTGCTTCTATATAAACAGAATAGCAAGAGGGTAGAGCGGGATAAGCCCAAACGAATCACACTCAAATCCTAGACTACTTTTGTCCTTTCTTCAATCCTTTCGCCCTCTTGTTTTTTTCTTATGTGAATCAATCAAATTTGCCAGTTGGCTTTGAGAGAGAGTTTGTGCGAAAGTGAGAGAGAGAGAGAGAGGAAACGATAGCAATTGGTAACAGTAGTGATAAGGGAAACGGTTATCAGTTCATGTATAAATGTAGTAATACAGCAGCTTGTACAACCATGGTGCTGTCCTTTCAATAAAAAGTGAATGTATTTTACTGCTCATTTAATAGCTCTACCTTTGTCTTCCTGCATATCGACTTTGATGTTCATATGTAGTCTATGATTAGTTTGGAAGTGAAAAGATGGGCTACAAACAGGGCAATAATATCACTTCAAAAGAACGTATCAAGCTGGCCACTTAAATTGACAATTAAACATATTTAATGTTTTCATTCTTTTACCATTTCCTTTCCCATAACCTACGGAAACTTGATAATTAG